TATGTATGAAGGTCCCCTGTATCTTTTGGCATTTCCAACATAGTTTTGATTATTTTTTTATACATTATCACAAGTTTGCTCAGAAACCCGTTCATAGCCATTTTCTCAACATGGTTGGTTCAGTTTTCTTTCCAGCAGCTTGCAAATGTTGTTCTTGTAGCGACCAGAAGATTTTCTTACACCTGTTTTACAGAGATTTATAACTGTCCAGTATGTTAAATAGCTCTGAATATCTATTTTTGTAGCACTCTCTTAATTCAAACCATCCACCAATTGGGATCCCTGTATTAATAAAAAATTCCAAACGTCCTCTTTCAATTTTACATTGCATATGTTTCTCATTTCTATACATGAACTCTTTCTCCCATCGCCCTCTCAATGCCATGCAAAATGATTTTTGAACACATTTTTGCCTCAGCCTTGAAATTTTTTCAGGGAATGAAGTTTCTATAAATGTTGTATCTTCTTTTTTGAGAATTCAATAAATGCTGCATTTGGAGATATTGATAAAAGGAGATAAACTTAAATGTCATATTTATTATTAAAGTACAATGGTTTTAAACATACCACCATGTACAATTCATTCAAACAATTTATACCTCACTCTTTAGAACTTTTTCTGACAATTTTAGAATCAAAATTCCTCAAAAAGAAAAATAATATTCTTCCTAAATTTTAGAAATAGTGATTTGGTAAATCAAATACAATGGACTAGGGCAGCCTTTCTCAACCTGTGGGTTCCCAGATGTTGTTGAACTACAACTCCCATCACCCCTAGCTAGCAAGGCCAGAGCTCAGGTATGATGGGAGTTGTAGTCCAACAACATCTGGGGATCCACAGGTTGAGAACCGCTGGACTGGGGGAAGCAAGGGACTTAACTGCAGCAAATCACAAATCTGCTCTGCAAGGCAACACTCTTCCTGCTTTGAATGGGAAACCCAGCCTGTCCCACACTTTCTCTGGAACAGTCCGGTTGGTAGGGCCAATGACTTCTCATCCTCCTAGGATTTCTGCTCTTGCCTTCCCCACATTCTCCTCCACTTTTCTTTTTTGTGTGGCAAATATTGTTTAATAACACTTGTACTAGCACTCAAAGTGCTCAGGGTGGTATGCACCTGGACTTGTCTCACTCTATACCTCTGAACAGTCCTTCACTTGAGTGGCTGGCTCCACGTGTGGGAAACCATCCCTGGCCCATGCTGGCTGGGGATCATTGGAGTTCTAGTTCAGCAACATCTGGAGGCCCACAACTTGTCTAGTTCAATGGATATGCTCCATCCACTACACACTTCAAGTATATTTAACTGAGAGCCAATAAATTGAAACTCAATCCAGATAAGACAAAGGCACTGTGCTCTGGACGGGGTTATACTCCCTCTGAAAGAGCAGGTTCTGCTGGATCCTTTGCTGTCACTTGAGGCTCAGGTAGTCTCAGTGGTGCGGAGTGCCTTCCATCAGCTTCAGCTGGTGGCCTAGCTACGCCCCTATCTGGACAGGGATGACTTAAACTCTGTTGCCTGCTTTGTTAACCTCTAGGTTAGATTACTGCAATGCATTATATGTAGGGCTGCCTCTGAAGATTGTATATCTTTTTTTAAAAAAATAATATTTATTAAAAGTTTAAAGATTACAGAAAAAAGAAAAAACAGCAAAAAAACTTCAACAAAACACACACTACAATACATAAAAAAGAAAAAAAAGGTACATAAAAACCAATACAACAATACAACAACAAAAATTCAGTCCACTCCAAATTCAGTCTTCAAAAACAGCGGCTTATGCTCCTGCAGGGCCTCGGGACTCTCCATTTGTATTACTTGAGGTGCAACAGCAACCTCCTCCATTATCTTCTGCACTTGCACTTGCCCTGTCAAAACAGGTTCCTGAGTTGGTCCCTGAATGGTTTCTGTATAAGTATTCACTGTTTGTCCGAAGTTACTGACTACAACAGTCATCAAATCCATCTTCTCAGTCATCAAATCCATCTTCTCATGCATCCAACAAAGCACTTGTCTTGCAAAAAGCAAGCACCCAAACTTCCTCCAAACACATTTTTATTCAAGGTCAAGAGACTGGTCCCACGATCTTAATCTCACAGCTGTAAAGTCCCCAAGTAGACTGCAGCAACAATTTAACAAGCTCCCTCTAGAGGAGACAATTTCTATTTGTATCCATCTTTTTAAAGCAAGTCCAACAAAGGAAAGTTACTTTCATTTTTCAAATATTTTGTTTCTTTTGAATGCAAAAGGCAACATTGGAATCAGTTTGTTTCTCTTTTTTAGCTATCTGTCAAAAACGTTCCATTCACAGTCAATGAACATCCCCAAAAACCTCTGTCTCTGACACCCCGTTCCCAGGTTTCTTTACTCTCTCTCCTGCAGGCTTGAACAGTCAAAGTTCCCCCCCTTTTCTCCTGCTTCCAAGGGGGTTTTGGTGGTTATAAATGAAGGAAATTTAGACCTTTATAAACGACTTTCCAGACTTTAGCTTGCAAGGCTTTTGCTTCAGTCTATTTACAAAAGCGGAAGGCGGACTTCCTGTTTTGAACCTTCCCACTTTGGTGCCAAATTAAGATGTTTCTTAATCCAATTTTCCGTTTCTACTCACGGGTACTTGTTTAGAGTCCAATTGTCCACAGGAAAAAGTCAGCGCTCTCCGGCAACGGCTGTGCGGCTTCATTCCGCAAAAGTAGCAGTCGATTCAAAACACCGCGCCACTCACCCCATGTCACTTCGGACCCCTATAAAAGGGTTTCCCTGCGAGTAGGTGTCAGCCGAATCCCACGTTCCCAGACTTCGTCCGCCTGGGATTTTTGAAGGGTCTCCGCCTTCGCCGCGGCGGCAAGACCTGATTTTTGTGGAGCGGGTTCCTCCCGGTTAGAGGAACTCCGCCATTGCCGATGGCGCTAACCCGGAAGTCCTGATTATATGTAGGGCTGCCTCTGAAGATTGTATATCTTTAGGTACCAGGCGAAAATGTTCCTCTTCAACCAAGTCTTTGACTGATTAATATTCTGCAGCCTTTTAAATGTGTTGGTGTTATTTTGGGGGGGAGGAAGCTATTGGTTTCTTGTTTTCGTTTTAACTGTTTATTTGTGTTTTAAACTTGTATTTTTATCTTGTGAACTGCCCTGAGATCGTTTTCTGAAGGGCTGTATATAAATCAAATAAATAAATAAAATACTTCTGGATCCATTGCTGTTGCTTGAGGCCCAGGTGGCCTCAGTGGAACGGAGTGCTTTCCATCCGTTTCAAATGGTGGCCCTGCTGTGCCCCTTTCTGGACAGGGACAGCCTAACTACTGTTGTCTATGCTCCGGTAGTTTAGATTCCTACATGTTATAGTTTCTGGGCCCAATTCAAAGTGCTGGTTTTCCAGCAGCTCTGGATCACAGTACAGTGGTACCTCGGGTTAAGAACGTAATTCGTTCTGGAGGTCCGTTCTTAACCTGAAACTGTACTTAACCTGAAGCACCACTTTAGCTAATGGGGCCTCCTGCTGCTGCCGCGCCACCGCTGCCCAATTTCTGTTCTCATCCTGAAGCAAAGTTCTTAACCCAAGGTACTGTTTCTGGGCTAGCGGAGTCTGTAACCTGAAGCGTCTGTAACCTGAAGCGTATGCAACCCGAGGTACCACTGTACCTCAAGGACTGCCTCTCCCCATCAACTGAGGCCCTTTTTTGTGTGCCCCCTCCATGTGAGGTCTGGAGGGCAGCAACACAAGAATGGGCCTTTTCTGTGGTGGCTCCTTGTTTGCAGAATGCTTTCTCCAGGAAGGCTCATCTAGTGCTTTCACTACATATCTTTAGGGGCCAGGCAAAAACATTTTTCTATAACCAGGCTTTTGGCTGATTAAACATTCTATGGTCTTTTAATTTTGATTGTGAGACGGGGTTTATTGGTTTGTTTATGCTTTTGTTGTATTTTGCTTTCCAATTTTGTATTTTTATGTTGTGAACCACGCTGTGATCTTTGGATGAATGGCAGTATACAGATTTTAAAAACAACAACAGCCACAACAACAACATAATTACTGCCTCTAGGTTCCTTCTGGAAGAAGGTTAGGATGTAAATTTAATTAATAAATAAATGCAATAATAACTCAAAGGGGGCTTTTTTACAATCAAGCAGTGTAAAAAATTTATGAAATTGATAATACATACCGCAAATGATAATTTAGTAACAAATTAATTAATTAGAAAAATAGCCTCCTTAAAAAACAACTTGCCCATTTGCATTAGATACAAACTGGAAGGAAAATGTGGCCAAGTCCCAAGTGCTAGCAAAGTCCAGGCTCCCCAGTTGGAGAAGCAGCAGGAGCCCAGAACAGAGGGAGCAGCAAGTAGGCCGCGGAAGGTGTACGGGGGTGGCCTGGTAGCTTGCCTCAGTGATGAGCTGCGCATGTGAGAGAATGTGGGGAGTGGCATGAGGTGACTCTGCAGCTCACCTGAGCCCGGGACCAGGAGGATTCTGGTCTGGTGCAAGTGTCCCACAGAGTGAGCAGAAGTAGCGCCTGACCCACAGGGCTCCTGGCAGACATTTTGCCCTTGCTTTCTTTTAGGTGTAAATTGTATCATTAGACTAAAATGCCATGAAGATTTTTCCCAATCTTATGCCTATGTTCATGAAACATTTTGCCAAGCAAAGGTACTCGTGGAGTCCCTAGCCCTGGAACTGTTTGAGATTTGATTAATACAGTATCTGTTGGAACAATTGGTCTGGAGTTGAAAATGGAGGGTAGACAAGGTGGCTATTTTTCATTTTCTGGTCTGCAACTGCTTGCATAAAGTGTTCTACGCTGCAAAGTGTAATACACTGGTGGCATTTCTTAACATTTAGTATGAGCAAAAAAAGAGACGTCCCTTGCAATCATAATGATGACCCTTGATGTTAGCAAGGTTTCCCAATAGCTCCACAAATGGTTGTGTTTATTGCTTTGAATATAAAATCACATCCTGCCATTTTCTCTATGTATCTTTTCTTCTTCCTCACTTTGCCTAGATTCCAGAACTCACAATCACCACCAACTCCCCAGAAAAGAAGGAACCTTCTAAAGGCAGTCTTGTGGATTTCACCGATTCCCCACAGGCACTTGCTTTCAAGGTCCATCCCTCATCTCATGAGGAGCTGAAAGTGCCCTGGGGCTTGGTACTGGGAACCGAAACCCTTCCCTTAGGACAGTGGGATGTGCCTGAGTTCAGCAAGTGTGACCTCACTACAGAGGGCTCTTTCATGGAGGAATGCATGGAGGAGCAATTGAGAAGGTACCAAGAGTTGCCCTACCGCTTGGAGGAAGATGCCATAGACCGGGAGCTGGAGCAGCTTTATCTGTCCCACTTGAGCCGGCTCCGAGCAGAGGAGCTTGGAGGAAGAGAGGAGTGGGCTGAGGAAGGTTCAGGCAATCCTAGCAGCCCTGCACCCTCTCTTATTGCCTTGCGGCAGAGTGTCTTGACTGACCGTGACCTGATAGTCAACTGGACAGGCCCCGAGAGAGCACTGAACAGCTCCCTGGCAGAGGAGATCATGCTGCACTATGCCAAGCAGCGTGGTGATGACTCCAGGGACAGTGAGGAGGAAGGATGCATGCCAGGGTATGCAACAATGGCACCATCTGAGTTGGTAGGACCAGGTCGTGATAGTCCACCTGTCCTACTAGAAGGCTGCTTTCTAAACCACCTGGAAGAGGGAAATGTCCAACGTGGCTTATCTAAGGACTCTGACTCTCCTGTCAGCTTGAGAGTGGTGTCACCCAACACCTCACGACCTGCCACTCAGGAGGCCATGGTGATGCCTCTGGTAGTCCCAGCCCGGACACTAGTGCCCCTTCCACAGCGGCCCACAGATCTGCTGTCCAGCCCTCTTGGTGCCCATGGACAGAAAAAGAGCCAGGGCTTCTTGATAGGGCAAGGCAGCCTTTGGTTGGGTGAAGGGCTTAATGTCCACAAGCCTCCTGAAGCCAATCCTGGTTCTCATAGTGAACTTGAAAAGATCTTGACACGGTCCCTGCGGTTTCTCAGCCTCTTTGTCTTCCTGCCTGTGGTTTTCAGCAGCTGCATGCCCCTCGTAGCCATTATGCTTTACCTCCTCCTGGACTGGTTCTCATAGTTTGGCATCTCTCTCTCTGAGGTGTTGGAAGGCCCATAAGAGGACTGTCTGCAGCTTGGCTCCATTCCTGTTTTCTTCTGAACAACAATGGTTTGATTGAGAGAAAGAGAGGGCAAGTCAAGTCCTCCTGAGAAATCATGGCATGTCTTAGTTGCGGCTGCTTATAATTTTCCAAAGTTTAGTGCACTTTTCTTTCTTTTTGTTTTGTGAAATCATTTGAGGATGATTTTTAAATGCGTTATTTACAACCACCCATGAGAAAATTCCGAGGGCTAGCTCTAAAAGATGGCATGGTTGGACACCCCATGAGTAGCAAAGAGCCTCCCATCTCCACAACATATTGTTTTCCCTTGGCATGAAACTCCCAAGAAGGGCAAAAGTAATGTGAGAAAATTATTGGGTTGCCCACCCCTGCCACTTGAAAGATAAAGGGACCAACTAAGGCTGCCTTGCCCAAAGGCCTGTCAAATGCTAGATCCATTACTGTCTGGTAATGTTTCTAATTTTTGTCAGATATGAATTTGCAGGAGGCATCTATTTGCAGGAGGAAAGCATTGCATTTTTCTTCCCTGGAAATAAATTTCCTTGTTGGGGTTGGCAGACTTTAATCTGAATTTTTAAGCCTTCTCCTTTATGGTGTTTGGCTTTCAAAGACTGAAATACTAAGCATACATACCTGGCAGGAATAAGTCCCGTTATTTAACAGGAGAAAGTATACAATTGCACTTTTATACTTAAGAGATGCACTATGAACAGGTTTCAACTTGTTCCTTGTTTTGTTGGGGGGGGGGGCTTATTGAAAAGAGATAAAACTAGACTCTTTGGAAAAAGGAACAAGCATTCACATTTTTAAAGTCTAATTTAAATTTACCCATGTCAGATTTTTTTAAAGGGCCTTTTCTTATTTAAATCATTTTTAAAATGAATTCAGTGTATGCTTCCTCTGAGCGTAATACTGCAGAGTATGGCAACTAGATTTCTGGGCAGGCTAAATCTTGGAGGAATCATTGGTTAAGTACCATTCAGAGTCCTTTTAGCAGAAAAGATTAATAATAATAATAATAATAATAATAATAATAATATTGTCGCTTTAAGCCTTGCCCTTGGCCACCCATATGTGAGAAAAGAAAATGGTGAATGGAGCAGAAATAAGCTAGCTGCCTCAGTTTCTAGAATGCTTTTTTCAAGGGCTAAAAATAAAACAAACATACAATATATGAAGAAAATATTTTAGTTGAAGTTACTCCACTCCTGCTTAATCCTGAACCATAGAGGAAGTTTTATGGCTCTTCCAGAAAGTATATATGCTTGGACTTTTGAGATTATGGCACCCAGTATAGCAATTTTATTACTTCAGTTTAAAAATAACAAGAAAATGTCCAAACTTGCCCTCAAAAAAACCCCTAGAATATTTGCATTCTTGGGAGGGAGGAAAATTGTAAATATTATTTTTCAAAATACCTTAGCATAGTCCAGCAGGACATTCTCCTGTGCAAATGCCAGTGAAATTTTAAAAAGCTTTTGTATTCTTCTTTTTCATTTCACTGAAGTTTCTGCAGGTGAACCTGGATTGAGCCCTCAGTTCCCATAAACTGGCATTCCTTTTTTCAAAAAGGCAAACATCAAGATGCTTTCCATTCCAAACAAGATGGTAACCTTTTCGGTGTTCTGTCCACCAAACCCCGGCAGAATTCAGCCGCTGCCATTCCAGACGGCTAGTCTAAAAGGTGGTGCAGACACATTTCCTTCATGCCACAAGCCCCAGCCACACCCGTTCCTTAACGAGATCCTCCAGACTGCTGATTTAATCTCTGCTTTAAGGACTCCTTTCTGCTCATGGATCTACCCGTGCTTCTCTGCCACCAGCAGGGTCCAGTATAGAGGACTACAGGAAAGCTGCCCTAAACAAATGGCCCCCTATTTATTTTTGTACCTGGTGGGAAATCCTGACCTTTTCTACCATAGAACTAACCCTAAGATAGAGAGTTTATTTATTAACCACTAGCAGTGCAAGTCCAGAGTGCTGGGGGTTGAAGATGAAAATAATTTATTATTCTATATCAGTGTATGTGTCTGCAGCAAAACAGTAGATTGAAAACACTGTCTTCATGTGCAATAGGCTAAACTGGCATTGAACCTGCCATGAAAAGACAAGCCACTTTCATGCTGCTAAACATGCTTCATTACTTCCTCTTGAATGTTGTACTCTCAACAGCTGCTGTGATATAGTTTGTGAGGCCTTGTGGAGGAAGAGGGAGGTCTTTGTGTGGGTTCTGAGGCCACTTCCCTCTGCTGATCCAAACTTGGCCGTGCTTTCTCATCCAATGGCAAATATTCTCATGTAGGGAATGTAGGTATTTTTGGAAGGTGGAAGGTGGAATGTTGCTTGTGCTTCGTGAATGGAGATTGGAGTCCAGTCTTGATTTTACAGTCATCAGTGGAAAAATCTGTATTCACCAAACAGAAGCTAAGTTCAGAATGTAACTAACAGCTACAGCGCTGTGTGTGTGTGTGTGTGTGTGCGCGTGCATATATATCTTTGTTGAGTTGTCCCATGGTTATGGTCTTTGTCCTTCCCAGGGGCCTAGGAAGGGGAGGCGGTGGGGGACGGTCCGCCCCAGGTGCCCTCACTGAGGGGGGTGACACTTGGCGCGCCACCCGCCTGCCCACGAGTCCCAAGCCTACCCCAAGCTGTTGGGGTGAGGCGGGGAGCTGCGCCGCTTTGCCAGCAGCATTCCCCCCCTTCCCCCTTCATTTTGACAGCTTGGGGGAGGCTTGGGAGTTGCGGGCGGGCGGCGGGCCAAATGTCCACCATGGGCAGCTTGCTCTGCCCCCACAAGCGGTTTGCTCCGTCCCCGGCTGCAGGGCACACGCGCCGCTCTAGGCACCCAAGCGGCTATCCTGCGCCTGGGAGGTCACCCTCCGCGCCACGCCCCCCTCAGGAGCACACCCGCCCTGGGCAGCGCGGGCATATGCTCCGCCGCTAGTCGTTCCAACCCTGGTTTCTCTTCTGCCTTAGCCAATCCGTCTGCTTCCCCTAATGGAGACCTACAATATGTCTGAAGACACCAGTTCCACCTCACAACAGTATCTGAAGTCTTTTGAGCCACCCACCTGGCTGTAATGCATGTGTCACTTCCATTCCACACATCTGCAGAAGCATTAGGTAAAGCCAGAGGCATTCTTGCAATGAGGCAAGGTGAGGTGGCTGCTTCAGGTGGCAGATTTTTGGGCAGCGTTGAGGGTTGTACAGTGGGAGGCAGACAGATTTGAGCTTATAGTGTATAATCCAACAGGTAGAACTCCACACAAGGGTATCACTTCAGGAGAACTTCCCTGTGGAATGTGTCCCATGTTAATTTATAGTGAGGGAGGAAGTACCTTTGAATTTTTCTGTATTAGAAATGTCTTGCAACTGTCTAGGTGAAAACTAAGGCTAGTTCTCATGTTACAGTGCAGAGCACGCTAGGCTGCCTCGTTTTTTAAAAACCATTTTTAGGCCAGGTTCTTACTCAGAACTGCATCTGGGTTGTTCCATTTTAGACTTCAGTTACATGTAGGACTTACATGATTGAATGCCCCTCTGTCTAAAACTGCACATAGAAAACTAGCACATAATAACATTTTTCCTTACATGCCAGTTTCCTTGTGCAGAGATTTTTTAAAATTTTGTTTGAAGAAATGCTTGGTTATAAATGTTCTCACTTGCAGCCTGATGTAGGTGCAGCTTAGGTGCTGGTTTACTACCTCAGTAAGAACCTGGGTCTGAGTGTGTTAACAACAGCAAAAAAGTGTGGAATCAGCATTCATACATGGAACTGCTGCCTCACTTCGCTTCTGCCAGTTCCCATGTGCTGTCTATAACCCCTCACCAACTAAGTAGTCACTTTCCAAGAGTCAGTGGTTTCTGCTCTCTGAACAGCATTAATAATAATCAACCCAGCAGGAACTGTATAAAGTTTCAGATAACCTTTACCATGCATATCAAGAATGTCCTGGAAAGTGTGCATATTAAAACAGGTTAACTTGTTATTAATAGGCACCCTTGTGCCTTGTCTGTAATGTGGGAACTAGCTGTAACTGGCATTGACCTCTTCTGGATCCTGAAATGTACAGGTTAGAAACAACAAGCACAGAAAAGCAAGCCTCAAATTATTGAGGGAGGCAGTTCCTTCTGTGTGTGTTCAAGGGATCATTTCATCCTCAGAACAACCCTCTGAAGGTAGAGGCCAGTACTTGCCCAAGGCCATCCAGTGAGTAGGGGTTAATTTGGGCTTCTCAAGTGGAAATCCAACAATCATAGATTCTTAAGATTTGGAAAAGACCCCAAGGGTCATCTAGTTCAGCCCCCTGCAGTGCAGGAATCTCAGCTGAAGCATCCATGACAGATGGCCATCCAACCTCTGCTTACCCTCCAAGGAAGGAGAGTCCACCACCTCTTGTGGGAGTCTGTTCCACTGCCAAACAGCTCTTACTGTCATAAAGTTTTTTTCCAAATGTTAGTCACAATCTCCTTTCTTGTAACTTGAAGCCATTGCCTCGAGTCCTACCCACAAAAGCACGAGAAAACAAGCATGCTCTCTCTTCCATGTGACAGCCCTTAAGATATTGGGAAATGGCTATCATATCTCCTCTCAGTTTCCTCTTGCCCAGCCTAAACATACCCAACTCCCTCAACCATTCCTCATAAGGCTTTGTTTCCAGACCGCACTTTCCAGTTTGTCAACATCGTTCTTAAATTATGGTGCCCAGAATTGGACACAGTATTCCAGGTGTGGTCTGACCAAGGCAGAATAGAGTGGTACTATTACTTCCCTTGATTTGGACACTATACTTCTGTTGATGCAGCCTAGAATAGCATTAGCTTTTTTTGCTGCTGCATCACACTGTTGCCTCATGTTAAGCTTGTGGTGCAGTAAGACCTCTAGATCCTTTTTGCATGCACTGCTAGTAAGTCCATCCTATATTTGTGCATCTGGTTCTTCCTGCCTAAGTGCAGAACCTTACATTTGTCCCTAATGAAATTCATTTTCTTAGCTTGCGCCCAGTTCTCCAGTCTGTTAAGGTCATTTTGAATTCTGATTCTCCCTTCCCCTCCCAGTTTGGTGTTATCTGCAAATTTGAATTTGCAGATTTCAGTTCCTTATCCAAGTCATTTATAAGGACGTTGAACAACCAGCTCAGGACAGAACCCTATGGCACCCCACTTGTCACTTTTTTCCAGGATGACAACAGCATTACTGTTGCTTTGGCTCCCTTTGCTAGAAGAATGTTTTCTCATCCAACTAGGGAGCATAATGTGGTGACATAGAGATGGACAAAGGTACACACATACAACATGTTTCTGAAGGCACATGAAGCTACCACCTTCTTGAAGCTAAGCGGATCTTAGGTCTGGTCAGTGGCTGGATGAGTGACCACCTGGGAATTACATCTATGCCCTTTTGGCTTCCATGGTGGAAGAAAGGTGGAGTATAAATGTAAGAAGATAATCAATCCGTATCGGATGAGCTAGGAAGAACTGATAATATTTGTTGTCCCCTGTCAGTAGGATTGCAGGGAAGTGTGTCAGGGCCTGGATGTTGTGCTTATTTTGAGATGGGGCTCACACTAAGCATTGTGAGAGCTGCTAGTGTGGTGGATGATAGTGTAAATTGGGAGGTCCAAATCTCACCTCAGCTACTATAATTAGTTATTAAATTCATATACCACCCTTCATCCATCGATCTCAGGGTGGTTCACAATATAAAAATATAAGATAAAGACACAAAATACATAATAAAACAAAACACAGACACACAAACACATTACTGAGATTATATACATGAAGTTCTTTGAGCATGCAGAAAAAGCAGTATTTTAAAACTATGGTCCCAATCTATTTAAAACTAGTTGCCCTTATTAAAATTCAACCACAACTAACTTGACCCATTTATTTCCATGGGGCTTGCAAGTAACTAGTGAATTTAATCATGGTCTAAGTATTAAGAGCTAGAGCAATTGCGTATGCTGGGAAGACTAGTCCAAATCTCATTTTAGCTGTAAATTTGCTAGATGGCCTTAGGCAAGTCATAATCTCTCAACCTTAGCCCTCTATCTGGTATATGGGGATAATAATTTGACCCTGCAAGGTTGTTGTAAGAATTGCTGAGATTATGTAAGGGATTACTTTAAACACCCATCTGAATGATTATATAAATACTACATTAAGATGAGGTATAAATAAAATTGTAATTATTTTCTTGGTTCTCAAATTTTATTGCAAAGCAAGACTGGCACTAATATTACCACGTTAGATAGTGTTCATTTGGCTTCTGGGTTGTTTTAAAATTGTTGTTAGGTTATACCTTTCTGCCAACAGTCTGATCTAATAGGGTAAGAGGGCACTGACAAACTGGAACGTGTCCAGAGGAGGGCAACCAAAATGGTCAAAGGCCTGGAAATGATGCCTTATGAGGAACGGCTAAGGGAGCTGGGCATGTTTAGCCTGGAGAAGAGGAGGTTAAGGGGTGAGATGATAGCCATGTTCAAATATATAAAAGGATGTCATATAGAGGAGGGAGAAAGGTTGTTTTCTGCTGCTCCAGAGAAGCGGACACGGAGCAATGGATCCAAACTACAAGAAAGAAGATTCCACCTAAACATTAGGAAGAACTTCCTGACAGTAAGAGCTGTTTGACAGTGGAATTTGCTGCCAAGGAGTGTGGTGGAGTCTCCTTCTTTGGAGGTCTTTAAGCAGAGGCTTGACAACCATATGTCAGGAGTGCTCTGATGGTGTTTCCTGCTTGGCAGGGGGTTGGACTCGATGGCCCTTGTGGTCTATTCCAACTCTCTGATTCTATGATTCTACTTTCCTGGTCACCTTGTGGCTGGTTTGTCAGTCTGTGCTGACTTCTTCCCATGGTGGAGCAATGAGTCCTGCACATCAGTCTGCCATTATTGTAAATTGCCCGTTGCATATGTAAATGTATTGTGAAGAGTTGCACTCAATGTGTGCCAGCTAGCAATAGGTACTTACAGGACTGATTTGCTGTGATCAGATTCAATCCATGCAGTGAGAAAATGGTTGCACTGTTTGAAATAAGACTTAGAAATGACCTCCTGTGCATGGGTCCTTGAGCCTGAGCTAGCAGAAGACTCAAGAGAAGTGGCAATGGCATTGCCTCGAAACAGTGTTGCATAGTGGCACACATGGATTGATAAAACCCCAGCATTCTTCCCTCAACTTTCCATCCCAGAGCCTTATTTCTTTCAAGTATTTCCTCAGCCACAACCTTCTGCTGTGGGAGCAGATCTCTATAGAGACCAAGAACGTGGAGGGTGGTTGGGTGTCGTTTTTTCTGTTGAGTACCTGTTGCCCTTTGTCACTAGCTATGGAGCAAAGGAAAGCATGGACCATGTTTTTTCACGGGTGTGTGTGTGAGAGAGTGTGTGTGTGTGTACTGTATGTACATCAACTGAGCTGTGCCTGAATTGAAAGCACTAATAAAAACATCCTGACCACAGCATGTGTCCCTGGCAATTTTTTGGGTTGGTATGGGTGTTTGCTGAACTGCCATCCGTACTGTGACCTTATGCAAGCTTCAGTGTCAACTTAAAGGCATACATTCTTCTTCAGGTAGAGGAGAAATGCTCCAGATGTGTAGCTGCTGCCTCCCTGTTTCCTTGCATCAGTGACCCAATTAGCAAGTTGGAGAAAGTATTATCTTCAAGAACGATAATAGATTTGCATTGAATTTATGCCAGTTTAACCAACATGAGTCTCTCTTGAGACTTTTTTTTTGTTGCTAAAGATTCCCAGCCTCCCTCACAGGGCTAGAGTTCACTGGAGAAGACTGCCCAGTCAAGGTTTGAGAGTCTAGCATAGACATAAAGGAACATGTCTCCTGAAGTCAATGATGTTCTATCAGCCCAGTCATCTGTGCCTGAAAGTACCACGATGCTGTTTTAAATTGTACCTCTTATTGTCACCAAAATTGGGAGGACAAGGCCATTCTATCAACAGGGGGAGGGAACCTCACTGATATCAAAAAGCCATGGCAATCTATTGCCTGAGAGATTTCCATGCACATCCGTAAGAACATAAGAAGATCCCTGCTGGGTCAGACCAAAAGCTGCCTATATACAGTAGCTTACAAACCTGTTTCCCACAGTGGGCAATCAGTGAAGAAGAAGAAGAGTTTGGATTTGATATTCCGCCTTTCACTCCCCTTCAGGAGTCTCAAAGCGGCTAACAATCTCCTTTCCCTTCCTCCCCCACAACAAACACTCTCTGAGGTGAGTGGGGCTGAGAGACTTCAGAGAAGTGTGACTAGCCCAAGGTCACCCAGCAGCTGCATGTGGAGGAGCAGGGAAGCGAACCCGGTTCACCAGATTACGAGTCCACCGCTCTTAACCACTACACCACACTGGCTCTCTAAGTGAGAAACCCACAAGCAGGACATCGGGGCAACTTGTGTTCACCAGCAAGTGACATTCACAAGTGTTCTGCCTCATACTGGTGGTAGTGCATAGCCACCAATAGCTTTATCCTCCATGGTATAATCCTGCTTTAAAGCCACCCATGTTGGCAGCCATCACTGCTACATCTTGTGGTATAAAAGTTCAGCACTTTGGAAGTTATTTTGAGCACCAGGAGTCAGTTACAGAATAAGTGAAACAGTGTGGACAAGAGTGCCTTTGAGCATGTGTAGGGTGCTTTAATCAGTTTTATATGATGTAGAACTTGAACTTCCAAGTCAGTCCCTATGGCTTTCAAATAGCATTATGTTTTGGCACCTGTCATTTCACTCTGAAAGAGGCTTCATCCACTCCAACTGAGACTAAAGAAGAAATCTTAAAACTAGCATTTTAGTGAAATTTTTTGCTTGATCTGTTTTCAAGAAAAAGCTGCAAGTATAGGAGAATTTTAGGGTGAGAGAATATACAGCTGTATAATCAGAGTGGAGGTCCTTCAGTTTTATTGTACAGAAGACACCTGTTCTGGTCTGGTTCTTTGCAGCCCAGCATATTTTCTTACTTTGCAATAGGCCATTAGCAAACAGCAGCTCTTTGGACCAAATCCTGCTCCCTGACTGATGCCACCTGCTTCCCCCCACAATTCCCAATGGCACAGTTTAAGTGCTGAACTAGTAATGAACTAAATCTGGTCCAGTCAACTGAAGTGCAGTATCTCTGGCTTATCTAGACGGAGCAAGCCCCTCTGGGTCAGAACATAGGCCTCTCCAGCTTCCGCTTTCCCACAGTAGTCAGCTAAAGGCTTCTGGAAAACCCACACTATAAACGCAATAGCTGTCTTTCACTGTTGTTCCCCAGAAATTGGACACGAATTATTCTTTCTGACAATTCAACATGGTAGTATCTGGATCCTCTTATTAACTCTGCTATTCCTGATGTTAGGGAGGCTTTGTTGTCCTTTGCACACCAGGTAAAGATCATTTCTGTTAATCTTACTAAAATCTGAGAGAGATTTTATTCAATGCTTCCCATTTTATTCATAATGTTATAGTAGTAATGCATTTTACCTTAACTGTCTTATTCTTGTTAGTAACCTAGAAAATATTTTATATTGAACAGTGGTGTATACATTTATTAAATAAAAAAATTCCTAGCAGGACCAGCCAAAGACATCTCACTGCCTGAGGCCGGTCAGCAAAGGGCTCCCCACCATTACACACCCATGGCTAAAGTGCATAATACCCAAGGCCAGCCGAATTATTTCGGCACCTGACGCAGTCAAAATACTATATAATCATTTGTTTATTTTAGAGAGGTACATGTACAAATGTACATATAAAACCATAACAAATATGAAAAGAACATGTTGGCTGTATAAAACAAATTGTCAGTAAATGGAAAGAGATCTACTGTTGTTAATTCTCATTGGAAGTAACCACATTGCTGCTTGGGATGCTGGTGGCCTAGGGGGACTAAGAGATTTAGTAATATAATTAACGAATGGAAACCATGTAACATCAAAATTATCCCATTTTGCTTTACCCTCAATAACTTGTGTATGTTGGGTCAAGGGTTCAAATTACACTATGTCCCAAATGTTTTGTACTATCCCTCCTTTGTGGACACAAAACCCCTCCTTCCAATGTCTAGCTGTAGCCAGTAACATCACTAATAATTCTCTATATACTCAGGTCCTGCTATCCAAACTCTGAATTCTCAGGAAATTGTTAGGTGAGCATTCGCATAACGGGGCAATGATTTCTAGTGGTTCCTATGGGGAAATTTCAAATGCATTCCCAAACACAGAATTTTGACCCCAAAATGGCAAAAACCCACTCCAACTAACCAACCAACCATCCATCTAGGAAATCCTGTTGAAACCTTGCAAAAGGCAAAAAGGAAGGAAGGAATGCTTTCTTATTTGTCAGGTAGATCCCCCTCTCTCCCACCATGGTTTCTGGTGAAACAGCTGCTGCAGACCAGCAAAACACAAAAATAAAGGCTTAGTTAAGGCTGCTTGTTTGTTTACTGTACTACACACAAGTCTGGCTGTTTGGATATTTCTATCTAGTGTACTAATTCTTGTGTTTGGATAAGTGACCAGGAGCGTTTGGATCGTGGTACCTGTGTGCATTGAATTCCATTATTATTACCACTTTCAATGGAGAAGAGTGCGAGAATAAGATCTAAACAGAGGGTTTGGTTGGTAATTTCGCCAAATTAAAAAACAACAACCACGTTTGAACATTTTTCAGCTGTAGGGCAATCCCACCACATGTGAAGCGCCCGTCCTCTTTCACCGCATCCCCTCTTCTTTATTAACCAGTTAAATGACTTAACCACGGGCTGCACTTCCCCGACACCCAGTCGCCTCACTCTGCCCCAAGGGAATGAGGCTTGCGAGGGGCCGGGCTCGCCTCAGTCCCATCTTTGCCCAAGGGCTTCTCTAGCTACCCGCCGGCCTTCCTGCCACCCCCCCCGGCACAGCCCCCGTGTCCACGCTCGTGTGAGCTCGGCGCGGCGCGGTGTCATTTTAAGATCTTTAATTGCAGAAGTTTTCAGGAAGGTGCGCAGTCCAAGTGTCCCGGGTCCCGGGTGGCCGTGGAGAAGGGGGCTCGTGTGTGTGTGTGCGCGCGCAGCTCCGCTCCCACGCCCCCCCCCCGATGATCTCCAGCCTGGAAAGAGGGGCTGGGAAGAGAAGTCGGCGGTCCCGGCGGGGGCTGCTCGCTGCCTTACCCCGACCCCATTCCCGCGCCCCCCCCCGCCCTTGGCGCGCTTGGTCTCTCCCATCAGCTGGTCCTGATGTAGTAAGGGGGGAAGAGCCCCCCTCCCTCCGCTGCCGGGGCCGAAGCCGTCCGGAAATCCCCGAGCCCGCTCCCCTCCTCCGCCCGCCTCTCGGCGCCCGGGCGCGCGCGCGCTTCCCGCCGCTGCCCATTGTCCTCCCGGCCGGCTCGTCCCGCGTCGCTTCCGCCGCCGCCGCCGCCGCCCGGCCTCCCCGGGGAGCCAGCCGGGAGACCCAGGCCCAGCCATGGCTTGAGTGGCGCTTGGAGGAGCCGGGCCGCTGGCTGGAGAAACCCCCGCGCCCTGGACGGAGGCAGAGCGGAGCGCCGGGACTGAGCCGGGACTTGCCCTGAGGCCGCGCTCCAGGAGGAGGCCTGGCAAGAGGGTCTGATTTCTGCGGTCGGAATGGATCCGTCCGGATAATTCTTCTTCTTCTTCTTCTTCTTCTTCTGCGCGGCGTTCCAGCTGCCTGCTGCTGCCTTTCCGGGTGGGAATGGACTGATCCAAGGGGGGGGGTCTGGGGGAGGGAAGGCTCGCCGCCTGGCTTGTGCTGCTGCCTGATTGACTGGAGAGCAAGCGAGAGCGGCTGGGATCTCCGGGGGGCGGCGGGGGGAGATGAAGTAACCTTGGTCCAGACATGGCAAATCGGGATCCATCCAGCCGGCTGCCGCCTTCCGCCGGGCGGCGGGCGCTGCTCCCCGGCTCCCCCAGCCCGCCTCCCCAGCGAGGGCTGCTGCTGCTGCCGCCCTTCTGCTAAGCCTTCGGTCCCCGTGGCCAGAAGCGGCCGAGGCTCCGATCTCTCTTCCAGATGCATCCCTCCCCAGGCTGACTCCAGAGGACAATAGCGGGGCCAGGATCCGGGCCTGCCGGAAGAGAGCGAGCGGGAGGGGGCCATCCCTTCGCGATGAGAGCCTCCCCATCCCCATCCCTGCCTGGCAGGAGGAAGCAGGACTGGCCCTGTCTCCAAGGCAACGGCTCCGGCATCCCAGCCTGCCTCTCCGGATAGGGCGTGAGCCCGGAGGCGGGTTGGGACGCGTCCCCCGGCCAGCTGCTTGAGGGGTCGTCTCTGCCGCTGATTTCTCAGACCAGAGGAGCGAGGTGAGCAGGCCCCGCCACCAGCACCCGCATGCTGCCCACTGGTGATGCAGGGCTGGGATCTGTGCCCCCCCCCAGTCCAGTCCCTCTTTCCTGGCATTGCTTTGTCTGCTTAACTCTCCATCTATCCAGATACAAACACATACACCCTGCTCATCTCATTCATCTGGCTGCCTGTTAGTCACCATGGCAAGCCCCCTCCCCTCCCCTCCCTCTCTCCCCCCCCCACCTCTGCCCCTTCTTCATTTGACTCTTGCTTTTCAGATGGAGCCACCACCTGTTTCATTTCTGCCTCTGTGTGTGTGTGTGTGTGTGTCTGGAGGTGGAGGGAGGGTGCTTTTAACACCCCATGTGCTCATGACCAAGCTGGGTGTGGGAGTCTTATTTCCATTTTGCAAGAGCTACAGGCTTCCCACCTTCTCCTTGCCTGTTTGTTCCTTTTGTCTGCTCCGCCCTGTTGCTCCTGAACACCCCCCCATTCCATGGTAGCCCCCCCCCCCCCGCTTATATGGAGCTCTTTGAAGGTAGGCGAAGAGGTGGAGAAAAATCTTTAGCAGACGTAATGCTCAAGCACCCCCCCCCCCATTTGTTATTCAGGGAGCATTCATATCTGAGAGGGTTGACCCTTTCTGTCAAGGGAGTCCACTTTTGTAACAACCCAGCCTCCAACACAGCACCAGCTTTTTAATACTCATTTTCACCACTGAAATTTGCATCGAGTTTGTATCCAATGAGATACAAAAATATGGAGCAGATTATGGGCAGAGATTATGGGTCTCTTTGTTCCAACTCACCAGGCCTTCTCTCAGATTGACAAGCAGTTAAGGGACAACTCTTAGTTCATTTCGGTGGACTGTTCTGTAAATAAAAAGTACATTATTCCCAAATCTGGAGAAAAACTTTGATGTGGGGCTCACTTCCTTTTCTCCTCCCCCTACAGCAGATACCTTGGTGTAAATTAGTAGTAAACTAATTGTAAATCAGAAGTATTTCAGTTGGAACCATTTGTTTCTAAATCCCTGTCACTTAATGTAAAGTAGAATTGACTATTAGACAAAAAGAAGCATATTTCCTCTCACCCAAGTAGAAGCCAGATATAAAATCAGAGGTGATGGCATTTGAGGTTATGGGTCTGGTTTGTTTGCATTCAACTTTGTGCTAGTGCTGGTCAGGTGAAAATATGTTGTGAATGGTTTGAATTTCTGTTGGAGCCAATTTACTAATCCCTGTAATTGTGCTAGTGTGAATGCATAAACAGACACCTTGACAGCAAAATCAGACAGCAAACCTTTACACAAGTTACTTATTTAGGCCTTAGACTAAAAATAAAATAAAATGATCTAGTAACTTTAATGGGTGTGTTTGCAAGGTAGATATTGTTACTAGTAAATTAGGAGGACATTACTTGAGACAATAAAGTTACCCTGGCTGAAGGTGATATAAATGAAATGTTATTTCACTGATGTCAAGGTTGCTTACTATCCCTGCCACTCTTCCTTTTGAAAGTAAGCAGTGAGCCAGGTATGTATCAAAAGTTTAGCAACTGAAATAATGATAGGATTTTTGTTTTACACTTTTGTGTAAAATCTTAGTAAATCAATTGTAAGGCTATAGTAACTCACTGGAGTCAATTGGTGTGATTTCCTAGAGTGAATCAGTTTAAATTTCTGAAACTAAAAGGTGTCTAATCCCACTGTTGACTTAATTTTAATAATAATGAGTCAGTACATATGTGTGTGGAAAATTGGTGACAGAACATCCATATGTGTTTTAATGTGATATATTACCTGAATGAGTATTCATTGGATTGTGTGTAGCAAGTGTGTTTCATTGGAAGTGCTAGTTTGTCACTGTGTGTGTGAATGAATGTGTGTGTGAGAGTTCTAATATAACAGAGGCAGGCTTGGCGATAATTATCTGTGGTATTGTGCAGTCTTTATTAAGACTGTTTATTCAGAAATACCACTGACTGCAATGGGACTTGCCCTCTACTAAATAGGTTTAGGAGTTCAGTCTTTGTGCATGCTTGCCTGCCAGCATTTGAGTTTGAGGGTGTGTTTGTGCATTGTCTGGGCCTGACTAAGTACAGTCTGTGTCAAAGTGTGTTTCAAATCACACAGATGTGCATGACCATAGCAGGATCTTGATATTTTTGTGAATGGATGTGATTCCGTGGATAGTGTGTGCTTAGGTCTATAAGTATACTTATCCCTAATTAATTTCCCATTATTTTCTCTTTGTTTACTCATAAACCCTATGGACTAACTACGCTAGTCTTTAGATGACACAAGACTCTTTGTTTTCTGCTTGCCCCCCCCCCCGCCACCATCCCATGACTGTAAATGTGATTTTGTGTTTTCTCAATAAAGTGATATATCTGCCAATTAAATTGGACAGTGGTATGCACAGGTCAATCAGATAATGAACATCACTGAAATAATTTGTGTGTCTGGCAAGATATAAGTGCATTGTGCTAAGAAACAGATGGCTGTGAGACCCTTCCCTTATTCTTATCTGTAAGTTTTTACAGGCGTGCAGTTGTGGGCTTGTCAGGTTCCCTGTGGTTGTGTGTATGACTCAGTGAGCTATCATGCGTGTTGTCAAAATGTGTGTGTGTTCATGACAGTGTGTATGTGTATGTCCCCAAGCATATCTGCTGTGCATGTATTGTACTGATTGTATTATGAGTGTGTCAGGATGTGCTGCTTACCAGTGGCGGAGAGGAACTCCCTTCACAATTCCCATTATAAGCAGCAGGTGTCAGTCCTGGAGCCGCTGCCGTTGCTTGGCTTGACACTGGCCCCACCTTCTTTGACAGGCCTCAGGCTGATGGCGTCATCTGTGTAGAGGGAGTCCTCAGATATACTGCTGGAGCTCTGGCATATAAATTCAGGACGCTAAAGGGGAGGCATATAGCCTAAGGATCAGCAACTGGCCTAAAATCCGGGCCCTTCAACTGCTCGGCTCCCCAGAGCCAGCCTAGGGGCAGGAGAGGTGTGAAGACAGTGGTTGCTGTGGCTACAGGAAGAGGGTCCCTGGCCCACTTCATAGCCCTCATGTAAAGTGAGTTGGTGAGCAGCAGTTTAATGAAGCCTTGACCACAAGCCAGAACTATCTATCTCCCCTCTGACATAAACCCCATGTAATTCATATCAGAGATTGTGAGATCCTTGACATTTCCGTTAAAAGGATCTAAGGCAGCAGGTCTTCTGAAAAAGAGTGCCAGTCAGAGGGCACTTGGCAAGAGGGGCCAGTGGTCAGCTTTTTAACAAAGTGTTCATATGAAATGGAGTTGGTCCCCACCACCCAACAGCTTGAATTTAGTTGGAATGACCCAAGTGGAGGCAGAGAAAGAGTCCTTTGTCACATGTGGAGAATATCTTTTTGATCCCTCTGGGCCACAAGTTGGATACAAAGCATGTAAAATCAATTTATTCATATGAACATTCACTGCTAGAGTTTGTAGGCCAGGTGAGGGGGCGGGAGAGAGAAGCATATTGACACGTGTATGTATTTGTGCGTGCATATGTGGAAATTGTGTGTGCTCACAACTATTACAAGCAGGAGTGTGTAAGCCCACAGTGGATGCGCACAAGATAAGCCACATGCTTTGTTTCCAAGTATACATTACATACACATTGTGTGTTTCTGTGTGTATATTTGTTTAGAAAGTGCATGTGTGTGAATTTGTATATGTTCTGCTGAATCATAGAATCTGGAATTGTAGAGTTGGAAGGGACCCCAAGGGTCATCTAGTCCAGCCCCCTGCAGGACAGGGATCTCTACTGGACTCCCTCGGGAGGTGGTGGACTCTCCTTCCTTGGAGGGTTTTAAGCAGAGGTGGGATGGCCATCTGTCACAGATGCTTTAGCTGAGATTCCTGCATTGCAGGGGGCTGAACTAGATGACCCTTGGGGTCGTTTCCAAATCTGCAATCCTATGATCCATAACAGACGGCCCTCTAACCTCTGCTTGAAAACCTCCAGTGAAGGATGGTACCTCACCTTCTAAGGGAGTCAGTTCCACTGCAGAACCGCTCTTTCCCTTCCTGATGTTTAGTGGGAATCTCCTTTCGTGTAACTTGAAGCCATTGGTTCAAATCCTACCCTCCAGAGCAGGAGAAAACCAGCATGTGGCAGCCCTTGAGCTATTGGAAGATGGCTATCATATCTAAGTCTCCTCTTGTCCAGGCTAAACGTACCCAGCAATCTCAACCGTTTCTCATGCAACTTGGTTTCCAGGCTCTTGGCTATCTTACTTGCTGTCCTCTGCACACATTCCAGTTTGTCGACATACTGTACTTCATTGTGGTGCAACATGTGCGTAAATTTTTGAATTGACAGAGTGACAATTTTCATAAATTTATGTATGTAAAATTGCATAAATACATTGTACGTCAGGTGTGGGGAACTTTTACCCCTTTAGATGTTGCTTAACTACATCTCCCATCAGCACCAGCAAGCATGGCAAATGGCATGGGGCGGTGGGATTTGTAGAGGACCACAGTTGTATTGGAGAGCCGCAGGTTCGCTTCACCCATTGTGCTTATTCCTGTGGTGGGGGCACACACAGTATTATTACTCATTGCAATGTATTATATTGAGAGCTGGTATGTGCGCGTGTATCTTTCATTACATGGAAGAAAAACCTTTCAACATGAACAAAAATGGACAGGCTTAACGCAGACTGGCTGGGTTGGGTGCTCTGCAGATGGTTGGAGCAATGGGTTCCCCAGACCTACTGTTAAGATCTAGAAAGCCTTTGCCAAGCTATCTTGCTTAGTAGCAGGGGTAACTTGACCTGAGGGCTGTTGCTGAGGGAGGGAATTTTCTTATTATTGTTATTGTTATTATTATTACATTTGTATACCGCCCTATACCTGCAGGTCTCAGGGTGGTTACAACATAAAAACACAATATAAAAACACAAAATACAAAAGAAAAAGAAAAATAACCCCAATAACCCCCCCCCCACACATTTTAAAAGGGTGTTGGATGACAATC